GCCCGCCCTCCGCCGCTCCTCCCATCCGGGTCAGTATTTGTGGTCAAGCGGGATGCCCTTGCAAAGCACAAGGTTCCACCCTACCCTCCCGGACATTCTGTCCGCCACACACAAAAACTATCATGCCTGTGGGAGCTTTCTTGGAACATCACACGGACCAAGTGAGGTGGGTTGGGGGCAGAGAAGGCTGGCAAGGGGAACCTTGGTGGGGGCCGGCAAAAGTAGGTTGGGATCCTTTCTTCGAGCCACCAGTTGCCTTAGACCTTCTCCTTTCCCCTTCTGCTCCTCTCCTCCCGCTACCCTGGGAGCCATCCCCTGGACCACTCATTTGAAAACCGGGAAGAGAGAATCACTGATGTCTGCCTGAGGACTGGTCAGGGCCGTGACTGTTTCAAGAGGCCATGGCCCGAATTAGCTCCGACGGGGAAAAAGATCCTTCGGGCCTACGCCAGCATCTGCCGTGAGCTGGTGACATGCCTCTGGGCTAGGAGCATGAGCGCGAGCTAGCAGCACGGGGACTGCGGGTGGTCTCCTGCCGGGCCAGCCTCCACGCCCGGGGCAGGTTGAGCTCTCTCGGGGGCAGGGGGTGCTCGAAGTTTGGCAAGGCGCTCTAAAACTCCGGGTGCTCATGGCTTCTGTTGAATCCAGCCAGGCCTGGGTGGTGTGAGGCACTCTGAAGGCCGCTTTACCTTGGGACCGGAAGTAACCAGGGCACAATTTGGGTGACACGCCCACTGCAATTTACACAGGGTCTTTTTTTCAATCCGGATGCTCCCAGGAGGCTCAGTGCTCCCAGCCTGTGAATGTCGCGCGTGATTTCTAACACGGGAGTTGCCACTCTCCCGCCTCCTCGTGAAAGACTTTCGGGAGAACGGGCCCCCACAGGGTCTCGCCCAGGGAACCACAGGCTTAGCTAGCCTGATCTCCCTTTGATGGGTGTAAAAAGCTGTGGCCGGGCAGTCCTTGTATCCCAAATATGGTCACTTCAGATGAGACAGAGCCCTTGAGCTCAGCCACTGGCTTAGAATGACATGTTTGTCTCCGGGGTTGAGACGTGTCCTAATTGGGCTGACCGATGAGTGATTTTCTTTGGCTCATAGAGGAGGGTGGGAAGTGAGTTCAGGTTCATGGCCGTGTGTGCCCAGGAGATACACTGCACAGCCTGGGCGCCACAAGCCCTTGTGATTAACATGGTTCGCTTCCTCTGTTGGAGGACAAAGACACCCCCTGCCATCCGGTATCTGTGGAAGCTGAGGGTAGCCCAGCCCCGTCTACAGCTCTCGCCACATCAGAATCCCCACGTTTTGCCCACCCGGTCGGGCAGGAGAGTCCAGGCATCCAAAACACCAGGTTTTTATTTTTATTTTTACTTTGTCCACGACCGCCTACGACATTCTTGTCTCCTCATCCTCACTGGAGAATGAGAGCGGGCTTGGGCTGCCGGGCATCTGCTTGGGCGGCCGCGGTGCTGGGCCCTGAACCCAGGGCAGGTGGGGGTCTCGCCCCAGCCCCGCTACCTGTTTCCATGTTGAGTTGTCTTGCTCAGCCCCCTGTCCTTGACTTGCTTATGTCAACCCTCTCATTTGGAGGAAGGACCTTGTAATTACTTAAGGTAACGTTTAAATAGCTGCCATTTGTTTGGACGTGATACCGAGAAGGAGGAAACAGGGAAGGACGCGTAGAATGCCGAACGTGGTCGCGGCGAGACAGAAATGGCTTATGGGATTGGCCCACCTGGGCTGTGGGGCTGCTGTTCTCCGGAGCCCCGTGGCGTCCAGGAGGCGGCCTGGGGTTGAAGTAGAACTTCTTTTCTAGATTCCTCCCCGTGTGTTTTCCCTCCCATCCCCTCTAGGGATAGGAATTCTGGATCTGGATCTGGTGATGGCATATGGTCTGGGTTGATTTCCGACTAGAATTTGTGTTTTTCTAGGTCCTATGCCCAGTTTGTGCAGAGGGTTCCGGGGACACTGGACCTCACGCCCCCCTCACCCCTTCGAGTGGCCACCCTAGCCAGGTCAGCCTGGGACAGCCAAAGCAGGGAGGCCAGGCCTCCTTAGGTGAGAAAGGCGTGTTTGGACAGCAGGGGACCCTGGGACGGTCCCATTGCAGACACCAGCCTCCTGGGAGTGGTCATGGGTTCTGTGCTGGGTCGTGGGTTCTGGCCTTGTTTCCTCCTCATATCTTGAGGAAGGAAGATTTCCTCCAGAGACACGTGGGGCCCTTCTGCTTGGAGGGAGACCTCTCTCCTGGTCTCTGCTCACAGGGTCCTTTCGCTGAGTGGATGGAGCTGTGATATTTTAAGAAGCCTTTGAGGTGATCCTTGTGTGTTAGCCAGAGGGAGAAAAAAAAGTGCCCTTTTGGGAGGAATATGGTACAGCCCTCCTCTTCCATATCTGGCTTTCCCCCCTCCGCCCTGTCCCCACACCCCCCCCCATCCCTTCAAGTGGTGTTGCCCTGGAAATACCTATGCAATCCAGTCTCCCCAGGAGAGCGCATGGAAGCAGGGGGTATGTGCAGTGTATCATACAAATGCTACAGCATATATATTGTATATATGGACATATGCCGTACGTATACACACAGAGTAAGAGATTAAATCACGTCTATATATCTATAAATAATATCCTATATATTTATACATTTCTATGTTTTAAATAGATATAAAAATAGAGTCTATAGAGAGCTGGGAGAGCAACGGGAAAGCCTGTCGCTATGTTGTGCAAAGAGGGAGGAGGCAGGGCCTCTGCAGGGGGAGATGTGGAAGCCAGGAGGGCACTGTCTGCCGGGAGTGGGGTCTCCTGCCCACAGTGCAGGACAGGAGAGTCCCCGGGCCTCTGCCCTCTCCGCGCACTTTCTCTCCTTTACCGCAGGCTTGGGCTGAGGTGGAAGGAGATACTCGCCCTCTGAGCTCCAGCCGAAGTGCCCCCCTCGTCCCCCCTCACCCCCTGCAGTCCGACGCTTAGGTGGTCACTGCTGCTTGGCCCTGGGACGTGGTCTCTGGGCCCTGGTGGAGGGACCACTGCACAGTTTCCCCTAATGCCCTCCCCCTACAAGAATGAGCAGCGCTGGCGGCAACCGGAAAGGTGCACATTGGACCCAGAGGGGCCCGGGGAGGATGCCCTCCTTCCCCCCTTAGGTGCTTCTGCTGACCCCTAGAGGCCAAGCCTCTGAAGTGCGGCTGCCCCCC